TCTGGCAGCAGCTGAGGCTCTGATTTTCTCCTTCCTCATCTCCAGGTAGAGTTTTCCATGGATTCAGCCCTGTGCTTGGCACAGCACATTCCTGACACCCCCTCCTCGAGGTGATGCTGGGCAGGGGCTCTCCTGGAGCCGGCAGGTTTTGGGGAGCTGTGGAAAGAGGATCCCCCCACAGGGAGCCCAATTTGTGTTTAATCCCTCCCACCTCCACCTAAATCATGGAGGAAGGGTTTGAATGTGGCTGTTACAGAGAGGGGTGAGGGAATTCACCGTGCTCTGGCTGCTGCCAGTGAATATTCAGGCAGGGCTCAAGGATTTCTGGATTTATGGGAGAGGGAGTACAAATGCAAGGCAGGAGCCAGCTGGGGATATTCCCAGATCCAGCAGTTTAACCTGCAGGACTGAAGGCTCTCAGGGCTGGTGCAGGGGCACAGGGAATGCCATGAGGGATGGCCAGACACCCCCTCCCCTCCTGGGGCCAGGGAGGGCACCCCCAGCGGAAAAGCAAAATTTTCTGATGCCAGACAGCTGCAGTGGGGAGGAGAGGAGAGATGAACAGGGTTTTGGGGTGGGATCTGATGCCCAGCAGCCCAGGAGGTGCATCCCAACCCTGAGCAAGGCTGGCTGGAGGTGCAGGACAGGGGCAGAGGGCACCTGCATTTCCCTCTGGCCACCCCAGGCCCTTGCCCAGCTCCCTTAAGCCAAAGCAGGAGCCCCTTTCTGAGCCCAGCTGGGTTTTTGTAGGTGGGGAGACAGGCTGAGCTTATCTTGAGCTCAACAGAGGTTGTTCTCTCCCAGGATTAACCTTTTCCCTGGGCACACTGAAATCCTGGTGCGCTGCTTTTGGTGCTGCTGGGGATCCCCCAGCTCTGCACCTTGTCCCCAAACTCTGCCCACGAGTCCTGCCCCCAGGTCCTGCCACCCTGGCTGATTTTCCATTTTAATATCTTGTACTCTCAGTATCTTTGAGTCTTCACTGGCTTGGAAATGTCTTTTTTTTTGTTCTCTCTCTCTCTCACTCTCCCTGCTATCATCAGCTTTCTGACATGGGGGTTTTATTGGAATAAAAGCAGATTTTTATCTCCCAAGCCTGTTTATTAAACTCTCTCCCTTCTTTCTACCAACCACCCTCCCGGACGTTTGTCGATTCAAATCAGGTTTAATCAACTCACCATATTGGACACAGTAAAATTGGATTTTTGAAAGCCCAATAAAGTTGTGCCAGTGCTCTGAGCCATCACTGGAGGAGCTCAGATTTCATCACATTGTGTCAGCAGCCACAAGGAGCAGCCCATGAGGAGCTCATCTGCTGGCAGCAGCAAGCTGCTAAAAAAAGGATGGAGCCTCTCCCGAAGAAATATTGACTATTAGTATTCTTATTAACATTCTGCTGTCAGAAATGACCAGTGGTAATAAATACAGCTGTACCTCCTCATCCCCCTGCCCATTCATCACTGTCTTCCTGAGCTTGCCTCGGTGCCCAACTGCTCCCCACTGTGCACATGAACCCTCACTGGGCCTCATCTCTCTTCCCAAAAGGAGCTGTTTGCCCTCATGTTGTGTCCACCATTATTATTATTATTATTATTATTATTATTATTATTATTATTATTATCATTATCATTATCATTATCATTATTATCATTATCATTATTATCATTATCGTTATTATTATTATTATCATTATCACTATCATTATTTTATTTTTATTTTATTTTTAATTTTATTTTTAATGAATTTTAATTTTAATTTTAATTTTAATTTTAATTTTAGTTTTTTTTATATTGTTTGGGTTGGAAGGGACCTTAAAGCCCATCTCATTCCACCCCCTGCCATGCCCAGGGACACCTCCCACTGTCCCAGGCTGCTCCAAGCCCTGTCCAGCCTGGCCTGGGACACTTCCAGGGTTCCAGGGGCAGCCACAGCTTCTCTGGGCACCCTGTGCCAGGGCCTGCCCACCCTCCCAGCCAGGAATTTTCCCAATTTCCCATCTATCCCTGCCCTCTGGCAGTTTGAAGCCATTCCCCTTTGTCCTTTCACTCCATCCCTTGTCCAAAATCTCTCTCCAGCTCTCCCAGAGCCCCTGGGAATGGAGGCTGCAGATCCTGATATCCACCTGTGGATCCCAAAATCTCCACAAGAGCTTTTGTGAGTCTGTGCCAGTGGAACCAAACCTCTGGGAGTTTTGGGCTGGGGATTCAGCATCACTTGTTGGGAATTCAGCTGTGGGGTTAGGGCATCCCTATCCCAACATCCCAATGTAGCTGTGGCCAGCAGGAGCAGCTTGGAAGGGACTTGGCTGCTCTGAAGGAATTAAAAATTCACTGAGCACTCAGCAAGTGTCTCTGCTGCTGAAAATCAGCATTTTAATGGCTGGGAACCACTGGTGACTGGCCATTTTGGGGTAAAAAAATGCCATAAAGGCAAAACAGGTTTTCTTGCTGGGCCTTTTGAAATGGGATGGGCTTTGCTGGGCAGAACACAGCAGCACTTGGACCTCCTGTGGTACCAACCCAGCAGGAACAGTTTAATTTTTAATTAAGAAGAAGCACTAAAGCCCATTTTAAAAATATGTTTTGAATGGCTGCATCATAAATTAAGGTCAAAATGCAATTTCTAAATTCTCAAGCTATGATGCAGAATTCGCTTTATTGATTTTCTGTGTGATTTGTAGGAGCTCCCATCATTGTTTTGACAGTTTTATCCTAGTGTAATAGACTTCCTTTTGGATAATTACAGTTCCTACATTAAATTTCAATCTTCTGTTGGACTTGGATAATCACATTTAGATCATGTTTCTTTCTTTAGCTGTACATACTCAGTAAGTTTTGGATAACAGCACTAATTGTTTTAACACGAATTTCAAGGATTACAGAGGCAAATTCAAGAATTAACCATGCAAAAAAACCCCTTTAATCTTCAACATCGGTGGCAACACTCACTTTGTAAGCAGTGAACATCTATTTTAAGGAAAGAAACAGCCAAATAGGTGATGTTAATCCACCACAGAGGACCCTGAAAGCTGAAAAATTGTACATGCCCACTTTCACTGTGTGTCTGTGTCTCATCCTGGGTCCAGCAGGGTCTCCAGGGGATGCCACTGAAAGTGCCAGCACTTCCCTCTCCCAGCCCAGCACTGTGTTTGTTAATTAGCCTTAACCAGAGTATGAAAACAGATTTTCCCTCTAGAGCAAGCACAGGAAAGGTGTTTTATAGCTGCTGCTGCCGTGTCAGGGCTATCTCTGCATCTCCAGCCTGCAGTGATCTCTCCCTCCGGTGCCCGGTCATTAAAAGGAAATTAATTTCACCAGGCACTGACGTAAGTAAACTCTCCAATTGCTGCTCTGTTCTGACTGTTAACCAGCTAGATCTCACTTTAATAGCTTATTTAAAGCACTGGGCTCCTGACAGGCCGGCTGATGGATGGAGCTGTCAGCGCCCGCTCCGTTTGGAGAGGAGAGGAACATCTCTTAAACCACCAGCTCTATAAATCAAAAGGATGAAAACCAGCCAGTGCATTTTCCTGGGCAGGAGTGTCCTTCTCCCTGCAGAGTGTAACAGGCACTAAATTTGGATTTATTGGGTCTGGAACCCCTTTGGACAGGTGCTGGAATGGGAGGGAGGGGGAAAAGCTGGACCCTGGGGACCAGAGCAGCCCTCGCCAGCCCCTTCATGGCAATTCCAGAGCCATTGCTCATGGAGCCAGGGAATTGATGCTCATCCTTGTGCTCAGTGCTCCCAAAGTCTGCTCCAGGGTCCATCCTGCCTGTGATCCCTGGAGGTTTGGCAGCGCTGGAACCACCACTCTCGTTCCTGTGGGGAAAGCTTTGCATGGGGAGGTTCTGCCCCTCGCTCAGCCCGTGCAGCTCCAGCAGAAAATGAACTCTTGGCTTTTTCCTGCCACAAAACCATCATCATACAGCTCCAGGCTGAGCAAAACTGAATCACCATCCCTGGAGGGATTTAAAAGCTGTGGCACTTGGGGACATGGGTTGGGGGTGGGCTTGGCAGTGCTGGGGAAATGGACTTCATCTTAGAGGTCTTCTCCAACCTTAACAATTGTAATATATCAAAAATTCTCAGGCCAGATCGTTACTCCTCCACTTTCTGCCAGGTTTGAGACCCTGCTGGCACTGCAGCCTTTTCAGGATTTTTTCCAGGCTGCCTTTCCCCCAGAGCTGATGGATGGGAGCAGGAGCCACCCCCACCCCCCTGCAGATGAGCTCCTCGCAGCGCCTCAGTTTTGTTTAATATTGAAAGACGTACAAAGCGTGGCTCTGACCTAGATTGGAGCTCTTGGGGGAAGGCTGTCGGGCTGGGGAGCAGCCGGCAGAGGCAGGGCCTGTGCCTTGCCATGGAATGCTGCTGCTGCTGTGATAAAATAATCATTTAGGGATGGCAATTAACCCACTTCATCAGCGCCGCTCTGGGCTGGCTCCTCGGCGAGTGCTCGGAGGTGGCTGGAGGTGCACAGACCCTGCTGGGCCCCAACAGCTCCTGTGGCTGCTCCCAGCCTTGCCTCGCTTCCAGGATGGCAAAAAAATGTCTGAGCCTTCCTTTCTTCCCCTTTTCCTTTTCTTTTTCTCCTTCCCATTCTTTTTTCCCTTCCCCTTCTCCTTTTCTCCCCTTCTCCTTTTCATATTTTCTCCTTCTCGTCTTCCCTTTCTCCTTCCCTTTACCCTCCTCCTCCTTATTTTTCCCTTTTCCTTTTCTCATTTTTTTTCCCCCATTTTTCCCTTTCTGTTGCTTTGCTGGGGGTCCCCTCTAGCAGCCCCCAGCTCCTTTGGGATCAGCTGCCCTGCCACAGCAGGAAAGCAGAGGGGTCCTTTGGAGTGCAAGGATGGACATTTTTTAGAAAACACACCCAAGGAGCTCTTTTTAGGTCAGAATATGCATTTTTAAACACTTCCCATCACGTCCCAGACATCACAGAGAGGTTTGTGTTTGACATAGAAACCCTGGAATGCTCCCACAACTCCTCCAGGCTCGTCCTAAATCCCTTGGTCCCTCCCTTTTTGGAAGGAGGAGGCATTTTGTGTCACAGCAGGGGCAGACTGTGGCTCCCTGTTTGGCAAATCCAGGAGTTTCACAGCGGAGCTGTCGAAGGAAAAGGGAAAACTGGTGAACCACATAATTAGTTTTTGATTCAGTGATTAATATCACTTGCAAACAGGTAATCACAACCCGAGCAGGCTCTTCCATGATGCTCTTCCTAACGAAGCAGCGTGGCCGGCTGGTCCTGGGAACAGAAATACGGGAGGTGCCTTTGGAATAAACAGGGGATGGAACAGGGAAAGCAAAGCTCTTCCTTCGGGATCAGAGACTCCCTGAGATCCCCCAGCAGCTCTTGGCCTCTGCCTCATCTGACACCATCCCCTTGCCAGTGGCCAGCCTGGCATCCTCCTGTCACCACCTGGCAGTGACAGTGGCCCTGCCAGCCGGGAATTCCCGAGGGTTTTCCACTGGCAGCGCTCAGCCGCTGTGGATTCAGTGGAATCGGATCCTGAGATTCCCAGCATTTGTGCTCCAGCTCCGGGCTGTGGGATGCTGATGGCTCCCTAATCTTGTCCTGCAATAATCCGGGAGCTGGGGCCGGCCCTCCCTGAGATGTGATTTAACAGGGCTGGAAGCTGTGCCCGCTGGGGGTTTGCAGGGATAAATATCAATATCATTTGTGGGGATGCTGTTTTGGGGCTGAGAGTGGGGATGAGCCCGGGGTCAGCTCCAGGGTATTCCCAGCTGGGATGGAGCTGCTGCAGCTCAGTGCCCCACGCCTCCATCCCCACCCCAGCAGCTGCAGATTCCCTTTTTGTCTTCCCCTCTCTTTTTCCTTCCAGGATTGCTCTCCAGGGGCACACGGAAATATCTTCCCATGGCTGTTTTGGGTGTGCACGGGCAGGCTGTGCCGCTCGGGGACTGCAGGTGATCCCACCGCTGCCACATCCCGGCACCTCTCGGGCAGCAGCAGCGATAAGGACACCGATAAGGATGGGGGTCTTCATGGAGGGGAACGAGCTCCATCAGCGAGCGGATCTCCCCGGGAGATGCGGGAGAGGGCCCGGGGAAGGGGATGGAGGGTCGGGATGTAAGGAAGCTGCGGGGTAAGGTTGGGGTTGCTCCATTTATATATCCATATATCCATATATCTATATATCTATATATCTATATATCTATATATCTATATATCTATATATCTATATATCTATATATCTATATATCTATATATCTATATATCTATATATCTATATATCAATATATCCACTATCTATATCTATATCTATCTCTATCTCTATCTCTATCTCTATATCTATATCTCTATATCTATATCTATATCTATATCTGTATCTATATCTATATCTATATCTATATCTATATCTATATCTATATCTATCGATCCACATATACATATCTACATATCTATATCTATCGATCCACATATACATATCTACATATCTACATATCTATCTATCTATCTATCTATCTATCTATCTATCTATCTATCCACATATATCTATATATATCTATATCTCTATATCTATATGTATGTCTATACATATATCTGTATCTATCCACATATATCTCTGTATCTATACACCTCTATATCTATATCTCTACCTATATACCTATATATCTATATATCTATATCTACATATCTATCTATATCTATATATCTATCTATCCACATATATCTCTATATATCTACATACCTCTCTATCTCTATCTATCCACATATATCTATATTTATATATATCTATATATCTATATAGTTATCTACACATATACACATATATATATCTCTTCACATATACATATATATACATACACATATATATAGACATTCATATATATATTTACATACACATATATACATATACACATACACATATATACACAGACACTATAGAAAAAACTATATATAAAAACGTACATTTAGATATATAATTTAATATAATAATACATATTATTAAATATAAAATATAGATTTTATAATATATGATATATTTATAGATATAAACGTTATATTTAAATTTTATATATATAATTTTTATATATAATTATACATTTTTATATTTTAAAAATATAAATATTTATATATAATAAAATTTATATATAATAATATAAATATATATAATTATATAAATATATGATAATATATAGATATATAATAATATATGTATAAATACATATTTTATATGAATATATGAATATATAAATAGATATAAATATAAATATAAATATATAAATTATATATATTTAAATATGTAGAATATATTATATAATATATAGAAATATGTAATATATATTTAATATATTTAAATATAATAATATACAAATATATATAAATATATAATTTTAAATATAAATATAAATATAAATAAAATATAAATATAAATATAAGTAAAATATAGATATAAATATAGATATAGATATAGATATAGATATAGATATAGATATAAATATAAGTATAAATATAAATACAAATATAGATATAAATATAAATATAAATATAAATATAAATATAAATATAAATATAAATATAAATATAAATATAAATATAAATATAAATATAAATATAATATAGATATAGATATAGATATAGATATAGGTATAGATATAGATATAGGTATAGATATAGATATAGATATAAATATAAATATAAATATAAATATAAATATAAATATAAATATAAATATAAATATAAATATATTATAAATATATATTATATATAATATCTACATCTATATATATATATAAGAACACCCAGCTCTGGGCGTTTTTAAGCTCCAGGGAAAAGCTGCTTTGCCTTCCTTCCCAAAATCCACGTGGATAACGGAGCAGATCCTTTCTCAGCCTGCACTCGCTGCCCTCTGCGGCCCAAACGGCCCCACAGGGGATGCGATGGGGAAGGGAGAGGGGCAGGTCCCGGGCAGGTGTGGAGGGCTCTGGTATTCCCTGGCTGTGGATGGAATACACGGAACGAGGCTCAGGATCAGCGGGGCAGGGCAGGGGCACTGCCGGGGAGCTCATGGGATCCAGCAAATATTGTCCCCCCGTGGCTGGGGAGGGCCTGGCCACGCTTTGGAAAAGTGATTTATGCTCTAATCGGTCTTGAAGCTTCATTATTCCCAGCATTAGCGTGTCTGAGCCACTGGCCTTATTTGTTAATGCACCGACAGCGGTGGCAGATGCGCTGGTTTTCATCTGTGACCCCATCAGCTCGCTGATTCATCTACTTCCATTTTCATTTCTGTCACTGATTTATTAATGATGTCTTACTTATCTTGGGGCTCCTCTGGACGGCTCCTCCAGCCCCCAGAGAGATGCTGGAGGAGCCCTCTCCCCCTGCCCAAATATCCCATTTTTCAAACCATTCCCACTCTCACTGTTCCAGAGATCAGATGCTTGGATCATTTAATAAGTGTGGCTTGTAGAGTTTGAGGGTGATTTCCCTGCTGAGATAACAACATCCCTTTTTTCTGTGGCAGACAGGGTACCCCATCCTCCAGGGATGCATTTGGGAATCCAGTCCATCCAGGATTCCATCCAGGAGCTTCACAAGATGCAGAGGGCAGATGTCCAGGCTGAGAAAATTGACTGGCTTTCTTGCTTTTCTCTGCTCTCTGGGCTGCTCCAGCTTGGAATAATCCCAGGGACAGATTTTGTACAATTCCCTCCTTACTCTGAAAATCTGGTGAGGAGTTGGATCAAACTGTGGGGAGATTGTATGAATTTCCTTGGTCAAGCACATCCTTTCTATGCTGCCTATTTGACCTGGGCCATGATGGGTTCATCAGAAATTATTTATTTGATGCACCCTGTTCTGAAAAAACACCTTAATTCCCACAGCTGTTTTAAGAGTGAGCCTCGAGGTGGTTTGCCTTTGCCTTGCAAGGGGATTTTCCTCCTCCTCTGATCCGGTGGTGGATCTCCTGGACAAGCCACAAAGCAGAGGGAGCTGCAGGGAGCTGGGAAAAAGCTATGGCAGGCTCTGTCCCATGGGATGTCTGTCCCAGGCTTTTGGCATCTCTCAACCTTTTGGCTCCTGACTCCTTCTTTTTATTCTATTTTTTTCTCTTGGCATCCCACTTTGAGCCACCCAGAGCAAACCCTGCTTCTCCTCACTGAAAAGCATCTTCTCACTGAGCAGCTCTGCCCTTCAGGGCTCTCCAGAGCCCAAACTCTGCTGTGAAACACACACACAAACCCACTGGATCTAGGGAAGAGCATCCCAAGTTTATTCCTCTGTGCTTTTACTCACCAGCCCTAAAGCATCACCCCTTGCCCCTCAGATTTGCTCCTTGCTCCCACTTTTCCTGCTGGGAAGCAGTGCCTGTTTCCAGCTGCTCACCTGGATGCCTGGCGAAGCTTTTTTTGCTTCTGGGGATATTTGAGGGATTTATGGTGTTGGTCCCTGAGCCTCAGATGTGCCAGGGACCTCCCTGCTCCCTCTGACCCCCACTGATTCCCTGGATAATTCCTTGGCTCTTTGCAGGGTGGTTGGCTCATGACTGTATCCCAGCCTTTCCTGGAAGGTTTAGCCTGCTTATTTTTTGCAGGAAAAATGAAATTTCCTGTTTTTTTCACCCTTTGCATCCTTCCCTTGTGATGAATTTTAGGTGCTGATAAGGGACTTGCCAGCCTGGAGCCATCAGGTGTGCGTGACATTATTGGCACTGCAGACAAGCCCTTGCTGTTTTATAAATGTAAGTACCCTTCCTAATCAATAAATCAATATTCATGCTGGTTTAAATTGCCATGATGTGGCGAAAGAATTTTCTGGGCAATTCTTTTTCTTTCTGGTTAATTTACTTTGTCTGTGTAAAATTCAGATTTGCTGGGGGCAGATCCACACCTCAGTGCTCTGGATTTTCACCAGTGACATTTCCAAACACTTGGATACAGAGTCATAGAATCTTGGAATGGTTTGGGTTGGAAGGGACCTAAAGGAAAATCCAGTTACAACCCCACTTCAATATCCTCCACGTCCAGATTGGGTTGGGAAATGCAATAAGGGAAAAGAAATGAACTTGAGGTTTTGTTCTCTTTCAGAAAGGAAAATATCCAGTGCCATGGTTAATTAGGAATTCTGGTAATGCGCAAATCAGCCTTTTTCCACTGGAAAGGGACCTGGGGAGGACCAAAACCCCAGTGCCCTGCATGGATAAACCCTGTGCTGCTCTGAGAGAGCCAAGACCTGTTCCTGTGAGCACAAAAAACACATTTATGGCCTGGCTAGGAAACTTTCCCTGTTTCTTTTCCCTGTAACATCTGAAAACAAAGCACCAGAGCACCTCGGGCTCACCTTCCCTCAAGGGGCAGATGCTGCATCCCTGGAGAGCCTCACTGCATCCCACACTCCCCCTCCTGCCCCTTAGGATTGGGGAATGGGTTAACCTCGCACCTCTTACAATTTTCTTGCCCAAAGGCAGTCAGCAATTTTACAGTGTCAGCCTCTCCATCCCTCCAAAACTGGAGTCTCCTTTTGGTTTCCCTCCTGTGTTTTTTTTCTCCCACCGTTTTGACTGACTTTTTTCCCCCACCTCTTTTTTCCCTCCCCCCACTCTTTGTTTCCCCCCTGTTTTCTTGTTAATCCTTCTCCCAGATTTATTTTTTTTATTTATTTACTTATTTTATTTATTTTTAATTTTATTTTTTTAAAATCTGCTGGCTCCCACCATCCTAACACCTCGGTGTACAGCCTTGGGAAAAGCCAGGCACTGATGTGGTGGCTTGGGCTGCCCTCTCTTGGCACTGCTGAATGTTGCAAAGAACAAAAATAAATTAAAAAAAATCCACTTTTCTTGACAGCATCTTCCTCTCTACATCTCCCTCCCTGCTGGAGAAGGGCAGGTTTGAAGCTCTTCCACCCCCTCCTTTCATCCCATGGTGGTCAGGTTGTGTGTTTTAAGGTCAGGGACCATATTGTGACCCTGTGATTCGGCCACATCTGTCTGCCAACTTCCTTAATGAACCTTTTCAATCTTGCTTTTGGCCCAGCAGCAGCTCCCAAACGGCCCTTGGGGGAGTAATTAAGGATTTTATTTATTTGTGAATGTGACCTCCTGCTCCCCCGCGCTGCACTTGTGAAAAAGCATGAAACCCCCCCAAGGCAGGAGGGCAGGGGCTGGATGGAGCTTGGCACATCCTGCCACTCCTCCTTGGCAGGTGGGCTGCACAATCTCATCAGCCAGATGGAGAAAGGGCACAGCCCAAGGTTATAAGCAAGCTCTCTCTTTATTATTTATATTTTTTTTTAAATACAGAATTGGTTAGTATTGATCTGGCTGATTTCTCTGCTGCTTTTTCCCCCTGCAGGGTGCAGTGCTGGATGGGAGCTCCTGATGCCAGGGACAGAGCTGCTTCCCAGCTTTTGGGGCTGGCTCAGCTCATCTGTGCTTTTCTCTGCCATATCTCCAGTTTGTTGCGGGGCTTTTCTCTATGAGGGTTTGCATTTGCAGAGATGAGGTTTCCACTCCCCCCACGGCAGAGGGGGTGGAACCAGATGGTTTTTAAGGTCCCTTCCAACCCAAACCTGGGATTCTCTGCTGGTATTACAGCAGACACTGAGGATCAGCATCTTTCCTTAGGCCCTTGGAGCAAAAACAGCTCCAAAACAAAAAAGTGATTTTTATTTTCCTGAAGCAATGACTTTCTAGATTCACTTCATGGCCAAGCACCTACTGGCATCCAGGGCTTGAACCTGCTCCTCCCTGCAGGAGTTTGGGTGTGCTGGGTGTTTGCAGAGGTGGGACCAGGAAAAATAAAACTGAAAGTCACGTCATCTCTCTGACTTCTTTTGGAAACCTGGTGTGGTTTCCAGGCACCCCTATCTGTGAGGGGCCAAAGGACACACTGCTCCCTGTCCCTGTGTTTGCCACACAGACCTGATAAAATAGCCTGTGATTGCTAATTTCTCTGCTGGGTTTTTCTCTGGGGCCCTTATCAGGATGGCAGATAAGATAATGTGAGGCTGAGAGAGTGGCTAAGTCAGATTAAATAAAATATAAATACTGTGCTCTGCAAGTCCCCTCCTGCATCCAGGAATTTCCTGCAACAACAGCCCAGACACCTTTCTCCCCTAAAGTAATAATCTGTTCCTGATGGGCACAGAAACAGAGAGCTGGGGGTGTAAACACGTTTTTTTGTGAAAATACCCATCCAAGAGCGGCTCTCTGGCTCCTGCCCAGGTGTTTGGGGCTGAGTGCACTCCTTGGCTGCACATCCTGCTGCCACCCTGGGCTGGTGGTCACATCACCCCTGCCACACCTGGGCCTGGGGAAAGGACCCCCAGCATCTCCTGAGGCTGAAAAGCCGAGAGGATTTATTAGCTGAGGTTTTTCAGCACATTCCAGTTTTGGCTGGTTGGCTCATGGGAATTACCTGCTTCACCATCGTCCTGGGCACCCTGTTCCAACTCTTGGGCACCCTTTCAGTGAAGACATTTTCCCTCATATCCAACCTGAACCTCCCCTGGCACAGCCTGGGGTGTTTTCCCCTTGTCCTGTCCCTGTTCCCTGGGAGCAGAGCCTCCCCCGGCTGTCCCCTCCTGCCAGGGACTTGTGCAGACTCCTGCCAGGGACTTGTGCAGAGCCACAAGGGCCCCCTGAGCCTCCTTTGCTCCAGGCTCAGCCCCTTCCCAGCTCCCTCAGCAATTCTCCAGCCCCTTCCCAGCTCCCTCAGCCTCTCCTGAGACTCCATCCCCATCCCTGGACACACTCCATCCCTTTCATGTCCTTCTTGTGAGTGTCCCCAAACTGTCCCCAGGGCTGGAGGGGAGCAGTGCCAGCACAGGGGACAATCCCTGCCCTGCTCCTGTCTCTAAAGATTCTCTGGAGGTCACTGTCAGCAGCAGATCAGCATCCAGGATAACCCTGCCAGCCCAGCTCTGTCCCAAACACTTCCCTGCCCTTCCCCAAGCCCTGCCTGTGCTGCGGAGCTCCTCCATCCCTGAGCGCTGCTGCCATCTAATGCCACCCTGCAGGAACATGAGCTGAGACGGGAGCATCACCCTCCTCCTCCAAAAGGTGCTGTTTGTGCCGGAAAATGATGCTCCTTTCCCCAGTTCCAGCCTTAAGGATAACTGCGAGCTGTGGGAGCAGGGAAGCAGGGTAGCCTGGAGTGCTTTTGGCTGGTCATTTTTGCTGAGGATAGCTTAAAAATGCAGGAAAAACATCTTCCAGCTCACCCCGGCCAGGATTTCAGTCCTGCTGGGGCTGCCCTGTTTCTGCCAGGGAGGGAGAGATGATTTCTTGGACAGAGTCATATCATAAAATCCTATTTTTTGGATTTGGGAAGGGGTTTTAGGGAACCTCATTCCAACCCCCTGCCATGGGCTGGTGGCTGGGATGATGGGCTGGGTGGGACATCTGTGTAGGGGAATTTTTTTTCAAGTCAGATCTTCATTAATCTCTGTATCTGAGTTGTGTTGCTGCCTGTAATTACTTTTTATTTATTTAGTACTCACTAAAATGCTCGGGGCAGGTTCCTTCCATTGTGTCACTTCTACAGAAGGTTTATTATTTTGCCTTTTTTTTTTTTTTTTCTTAATATTAATATTTTTTAATATTCACATATTTTAATATTCACAATCACTCCCCAGAATGAGTGTGGGTGGATATGAAATGGATTAAAAACCTGCTCTTGTCCTTCCCAAAGAGATCCTCAGAGAGGGGTCTCCTCTCCTGAAGACCTTCCAGGGGATTTTGGTGATTTCACATTTCCATGAAGGGTGCAGAGGGCATGGGGGGGTCTGTGTGGCTGGACACAAACACAGAATTTGGAGGCCACAACATTTGGGGTGGCCTCTGTCTTTTGGAAAGGTGCTGCTCACCTGGGGGGTGAGGAGGGCTGGGATGAAGGCTCCTGGTGCATCTGGGGCTGATGGGCCACAACCTCCTGGGACCCACCCAAGGAACTTCCTAATCACCATGCCCAAAATCAAGGCTCGATTTCCTTTAGTGGCTTTCAAGGATTTTACCTGTGTGCAGGTCATGATGCTCCTGGGCATTGTGCCAGCCAGCTGACCCCAAAATCACCCAAAAATCATGCAGCTGGGCATTGAAACACTTGGTGGCCTCCAGGCTTACTCCCAAATAGGAGAAAAGCTTTTTTCCTTTATTTTTTCCCTTCACCACTCTAAAACCCTCTGCACACACACCTTTGATGGTCACAGGACATCCACCCACCGTTTCTGAAACCTCCTTTGTACCTCCTGCCAAGATACCTTTTATTTTTATTTTTTTTTTTATCTTTGCCCATTGCTTTGGATGATCCCAACACCCAAAGAGGTTTCCTCCAAAACTTGACCAGCAGATGTTCATATTTTTTGGATGAAGCTCATTGTGAAGGAATGGTGACCTGGAGACTCTTGTTCTCTGTGAGGACAAGTGGTTCTGCAGCAAAGGGGACCTTGGAGAGGGGTCAGCTGTGTTTGGATGGAGCTGTGGGGATCACTCTGTGCCCTGGTGCTCCCCAGGGCCTGGCCAAGGCTCCCTGGTGTCCCATCCCCTCCCAGCAGGTGCTGGCCAAAGCCACGGCTGTGTGCAGAGGGATTAGGTAACACCAGCTCTGTGTTTGGGGTCTGAGTGCTTCTTTCAATTTAGCTTAACTCGCTGAGGAATTGACTTAAACTAGATTGATATAAGCCACTCTTAAAAGATTTAAGCCCCATCGTAAGAGGATGTGCTCATGGGTTTACACTGTATTAACCCAGGCTTTTAAATAACAGCTCCAGGCTAGGTCTATACTTGGTTTCTACACCAAATTATTGCAGCTCAGGCCTGCCTGGTGGTTTAATTGAATCGGTGAGAAATGTCCATGTGGATTCACTTGCACTGGTGGCGAATTGTCTTACAGTGGGATAGCTCTGGGAGTCATCCAGCTTTCCCAAGAGTGGGAATGACGAGGGCTGTGTGCTCAGAGGAGAGAGGGTCTGCCAACCCAGGTAGTGCTTAAAGCCTTTTAATCAGCAGGGAGAAGAAAGGAACCAAAATTTCAATTAAAAGAAATTAACCTCCTTCACATTTTCCTGTGGTCAGCAGCCTCTGGAAAGGAGGGAGGACAGAGATATCCCGATTTATGGGGCAGGTGGGACGCTTGGCTGGGATGCAGCAGCAATTCCTGTTGGTGGGTGGTTTCCCCACAGTTTCCAATCCTGAACCCAGAGGTTTTGGCTAACACTTGTTTTTTAACACCATTTTTTAACATTTTTTAGCAGCCCTTGGC